GCATGTGTAGAAATGTTACCTGGGAGCCAGGGCCTGGAACTGGGGCCTCAGGACTCTGCCTGCTGCCCTTTCTTTCTGTGACTAAGTTGGTATCCAAGTTGCAATGCAAATTCCCCTTCACTCTTTACTCTCCTCCCAAGAGGAAGGTTGGTATCTCTACTGGAGCTGTGAGCTGTGCTGCCTGGGGCTGAGGGATGGGCAGCACAAGCATTCTCTTGGCTGCCCCGGCTGGTGTCTCACTAGGTCATGTGTCTGCCAAGTCCACTGACTTCAAGCCCAGGAGAGAAGCAGGACTTCTCCAGGACTGTGGCCCTTTTGGACTAAACTGCCTGGACCCCAGAGCACTTTATCCCATGGTGGTGATACTTTGCCAGAACTCAAGTTCCAACAGGTGAGATGGGAGATTCATCTCTGGCTAGGACTGGTCTGAAAGCTCCCTCCATAGGTGTTGGCTAAGTTCTACCCAGTGTTGCTTTCTGCTGTGAAAGGGCACTGAGTTCCAGTGAAAAACCCTGCAGTCACTGAGTTTTCTCTCCCCCAAATGCACAGATTCCCTCTCTGTGCCATTCGGTTGCTGCTGGAAGATTGGTGCGAGGTGGTGGTATCAGCAATTCAAAGACTGTCTTTCCTCTTCAGTGCCTCTTTCAGTAATATGTGCTAAAGCTAGGTATTGTGTGATTGCTCACTTGGCTTTTGGTTCTTATGAAGGTGTGGATACCTGTTCAATTTGGTGTTGCTGCAGGGAGGACGATCAGTAGAGGTTTCTATTTCACCATCTTATTCGACCTGCTTCCCTTACCTTGTACGATTCTTTCTCTTGCTTACAATCTTCCAGCCACACTGGACTTCATATTCTTGGAACACTGAAAGATCAGCACCCACTGCTGGAATGCTCTTTCCAATTCTCCCTCTCTCCTAATTTGTAGGACTAGCTCCTCTCAGTACCAATGTCACTTCCTCAGTCACACATCCCAATCACTCACTATATGACCTAGTTTTACTGTCTTCACAGAAGTTCCCACTACCTGAAATGATTTTTTTTTTTTTTTTTTTTTTTTGGTTTGTAAGCTCCATGAGAGCAAGACATATGTCTATTGGTGTCACCTAACAATTTGTTAAATGGATGCAGTCTGTCTGAAGAGTTGTAGTTTACCATTTTTTCACTTATGGTTTGTGGTGAAGCTGAAGCTACCCAATGTTATCTCTGTCCCATCTGCAGTGACCCTTGAGGTGCATGTGGTCCACAACATCATAAGATGGGCCTTATTTAGCTACTTTTCAATATGTCAGGATATTAATTTCTTACTGGGTAAAAGGCAGTGCCAATTTCCTTAATTACATTAAGAAAATTGTCAATGATAAAACAACTTTTATAAAAATATAAATAATAGTTCAATAAATAAGGAAATATAAGTTGTTTTTCATGGAATTTGGTAAGGGTGTTTTTATTTTTATTAGAAAAATATAGCCTAAAAATACTTTTACTTTACCTTTCTTAAATTGCCCTGAGTAAAAACATTATTCAGTGTGGTCAGTCTAACAGATGGTGTTATCCTTATTTTACAGATTTTGAAACTAAAGATTTAAGTAATTTGCCAGAGTCAGAAAGCTGTAAGCATCAGAACTGGATTTTCAAACTTAAGTTTATCTGACTCAAAAGCTCTTGCCTTTCACCACCACTCTACTGCTTCTAAAATGTCAAACATCAGCTGAACCACATGATAGGTAAACTATAAATGTAAGTTTATCTTTCTCACGCCCTTCCAGTAGTGCCTCTGATTCTTTCTGTATTCTGCCCCACCTATAGGTATTGAATGCTGTCTGCCATATTCTGTTTCATGGAATATTTCTTAGGTTTTACCTCTTGATGAAAACACATCTCAAGTGTCTGAGAGAAGATAATTAAAATAACAACTTAAAAGAGAACTCACCCAACTGCCTACACAGTACTTCACTAACTGTCTTTACTCCTGTTAGGAAACATTATTTTTCTATTGCATTCCTGGCATATTAACTGTCTAGGCCATGCAATGTGCTGTGGCAGAAAGAACATGGGCTTTGAGGCCAAAGAATCTGGGGCTCCAGGGCTCATCTCTGCCACTGATTGGTTGTGTGGCTGTGCACACATTTTTGTCACCCCTCTGGGTTTGTTTCCTCATCTACAGCTTCGAGAGAACAGCCTACCCTTCATACTGTGGGAGACTTCCTGCCGGGCACATTATGAGCATTCCATAAAGGTCAGTTTCCTTTTTCCCCTAACTTTGCCCCACACTTTTGGCATGCTGTACTATTTTAACCTTCTGGAAGCATACAGGATGCATAGAGAGTCTCTCTTTTGTATTGGAAAAAAAATCTTTTAGGGCAATACTTTGAAAAAATAAAACTTGTATGTTGAAATGAGTGCTGCATGTCCAGCTGACATCCTGGGAGCTGACAGATTTATTTCCATGACGCAGCAGTGCTGACAGAAGTTGAACTTTCCTTTTGGAATTGCTCTTCAAGCCAGTTTATGAGTAAATTGAGAAAAGCAGCTTCGTTACTTTACGGTATTTTTGACAAAAATAAAACAAATATATGTAGCGACAGCCATGTTCCTTATTCACTGCCATGGGTCCAAATGATCTTATTATTTTCAAAGATCAAAAGGATAAAGGTGTGAAGCCAGGAAATATGTAAAAAGGCTAACAATAATCTCAAAAGATGAGTTCTACCACTGATTTGGCAGTATGGAGGCAACATGGATATCGATGTGTAACCCCTCATGGTGACTATGTTGAAGGGATCTTTATTTGAGTCCTTGTGCTTATTAGATTGTTTATTTTAAACACTTATCTAATATGAAACCTAGCTGCCCAAAAGTATTACAATCAGTTCAACAGTATTTACTGTGTACTTCTGATAGTCAATACTATTTAGAATAAATCATTTAGATTATTGTCTGAAAACTTTTTATATTGCACACTCTAACAGTAGTAGAACGTTGAGGGTGTGCTCCAAATTTCTGTGTAATAGTTTACTTACAAATTATATACTTACATTTTAATTATAATCATATGTATTTATATTATGAACTGAATGTGTTTCCCCAAAACTCCATTATTGAAATCCTGACCCCAATGTGATAGCATTAGAAGGAGGAGGCTTTGGGACATAATTAGGTCATGAGAGTAAAGCCCTCATGAATGGGATTAGTGTCCTGATAAAAAAGACACAAGAGTTTGCTTTCTTTCCCTTTCTCTCTGCCCTCTACCACATGACGTGGAGGACACAGCAAAAAGACTGCCCTGTGGAAACCCGGAAGCAGGTGTTGACAAGTTGACCTGGGCCTTCTCAGCCTCCAAAATAGTGAGAAATAAATGTTTGTTATTTAAGCCACCTAGTCTATAGTAATTTGTTATAGCAGCAGAGTTAACATATTTACAAAGTATGTGCATTGTGAAAGATAATAAACATTAATAAATATGAGATACGAATGTATGTGTGTATGTGTGTATTCATTCTAATACTTCCTTTCCTTATCCCAGTGGAGAGTCTTGTATGTCCGGTGCACATGTATGCATCCTGCTTTGTAGGAGACTGGTTTAGATGATACTTGTGATAAAGGGGCTAACACTTACTATAAATGGTTGTTAAACAAAATTGTTACCTTTCACATCTGTTTAGCAATATCCATTACCTATACCAAAACCAAATGACAATGCAGATTCACCCAAAGTGTAATTTAGGAAGACAGACTTGAATGCAATTTTATCATTACGTGTCCAGAAGACAAAGCTTAATATAGTTGCTAAAAATTGCATGATCAGCTTGAGACATTATCACATAATGGAATGCTATGAAGACACAGGAAGATACTTATGTAAGTGTGATATGTAAAGTAATCAAAGATACAACTTGGAGTACAGTAACTGGCACTAAGCCAACATGTTCTGAGTTGGCTCTAGTTTGATTATGAGACCTACAGAGTCTAAGACTCAAACAGTTATGGCCTAAACAACTATGTTTCCATCCAAAAAGCCTCTTTGTGTTGCATCAGTCTTTGGAGAAACACTCACAGAGGTTTGTAACAATGATGTTTTAAGAAGCTAACTATAAAAATAGGGGCTGGGCACGGTGGCTCACACGTGTAATCCCAGCACTTTGGAGGCTGAGGCAGGCAAATCACATGAGGTCAGGAGTTTGAGACCAGTCTGGCCAACATGATGAAACCCCATCTCTACTAAAAACACAAAAATTAGCCGGGTATGGTGGTGTGAGCCTGTGATTCCAGCTACTAGAAAGGCTGAGGCAGGAGGATCATTTGAGCCCAGGAGGCAGAGGTTGCAGTGAGCCAAGATTGCATCACTGCACTCCAGCCTGGGTGACAGAGTAAGACTTTGTCTCAAAATAATAATAATAATAAAAAGAAAAAAGAAATAAAAACAATAACAAGAGAGAAAGGCAGGTGAGGAATGAGACCATCTATTGTTGACTTTGTGTATGGGAGGTGGTGCTACCTTGGTTGCTCATCGTATGTGTACTCAAGTTACAGAAAAACACATTCATAAATCCAAAGGATCTGTCAGATGAAAGATTACTTACTTATTTCAAACCACATTCTGTAGCAACAGTTGAAACTATTGCTATAAAATTGCAACAAATTAGTTCAAACAATTTCTTAAAGCTCTTTAATTGGGGATAATATATGATTTTATAATGTTTTAAAGTTCATTTCAGTTTACAAAGTTTTTTCTAAAATAATTATGTGAGACTAAGAAGCTTAGTCTTGAGGTAGAAAACTCAGTCCTTTCGAGGAAACAGCAAGGAATTCAATTTCTAATTAGCTTTGTTAAATTTGCCAGTTCATATTAAAGAATTTTAAGACACTAGAAATAGATAATTAAGAGAAGATTTCACAGATTGCAATAAAAACCACTTAAAAGCCATTTTTAAATGGTCCTTGATTTTAAACAAAAAAAAATTAACAAGATTTCTTGGAGTAATATTTCTTGATTTCTTACCTTTCCATACTTCTGTGCATAAGACCCTGTGAGCAGTGAGTGAAAAACAATGATGGTTTCATCCAAATCCCAGACAAACACACGCTGAAGACAAAAAATAAATATTAGAAAATTTAAAAAGTCCAAGGAAACAGAAATCTCTTTACAAACAGAAAACATCTCCCTTCCTTGGTAGATATCATCTTGATATTTTATAGAAAATAATACTTTTTTTTTCAAATCTGACAAATCTAACTCCTGTGAAGCCTGAGGAGCAGGAATTATACAAATTGTAAGCTAAAGAGTCAGATGTGCTTATTTCATTCAGTTTATGAAAGAAGCATGCTTGAAACTCTACATATTTTAAAGTTTTATACCTTAGGGATTCATAAAATTTTGCAATATATACAAAGAATTAGATCTTAAAGAAATATTTAAAAGAATCAATGAGTAACCCCAAAACAGAACTGCCAAGTATGGACCTTTGGGTCTTATTAGGCCAGCAGATATGTTGGGCTCCCTGGAGTTTTGAAAGATTTCGTATTATTCATTGACATTTCAAAACTAAACGATTTCACCCAAACTTCAGAGTTTTGACAGCAAGCACAGAAACTAGAAGCTGCGGCCAGGCTGGCTGCCATTCCTACATGGCAGTGACAAGCAGGTCCCTCAGAATGGGCCTGTACTCTGAGCTCCCCACAGTCTGCTGGGAAATTCAGCCTGGTCACTCATTTCTATCACCTGTCAAGTTCTTGAGGCAATTTGAACTTCTTCCTGTTGTTCAGGTAAAGGAAGTTATCTCTTATAAAGAATCACAATGTCTTTCACTTGATTTTGCTAAATCTGGAAGTTCAATTTTTTCCTTTGCTTATTTTTTTGAGACAGAGTCTCGCTTTGTCACTAGGCTGTAGTGCAGTGGCGCGATCCCGCCTCACTGCAACTTCTGTTTTCTGGTTTCGAGCAGTTCTCCTGCTTCAGACTACCGAGTAGCTGGGACAACAGGCACGCACCACCACGCCCGGCCCATTTTTTCTGTACTTTTAGTAGAGCCGGGGTTTCACCATGCTGGCCAGGGTGGTCTCCATCTCCTGACCTCATGATCCACCCGCTTCTGCCTCCCAAAGTGCTGGGATTACAGGCGTGAGCCACCATGCCCGGCCTCAATTTTTTTCTTAATTGAAGTATGCAGTATGTAAGAATTAACATTAATATGGTTAAGAATAGTTTCTCCTGATGTTTTATAATAAAAATCAACCCTGCTTAGTACAATATATCTCAAAAGAGCTCATAAATAGAAAAATGACATATAGCAAAATTTTCACAGATGTGCAAATTTTAACACATATTATTAAATGATTGAAATTTGTCTATTTAGAAGATAAATTTTTCTTTCTATACAAATTACTTTTATCTTTTTAAACTTAATTACCCATTTGGACATCTTTCACTACTTCAGTGCTATCAAATACAGTGTTACATAGAAAAGTATCCCACAAACAATCCCACAAATTTTATATTTTTAAAATTTGTTGGTGCCAATTTAGATCAAAACATGCAATTATCGGGCTGGGCGCGGTGGCGCACGTCTGTAATTCTAGCACTTTGGGAGGCCGAGGCGGGTGGATCACGAGGTCAAGAGATCAAGACCATCCAGGTCAACATGGTGAAACCCCGTCTCTACTAAATATGCAAAAAAATTATAGCTGGGCATGGTGGCGCATGCCTGTAAGCTACTCAGGAGGCTGAGGCAGGAGAATTGCCTGAACCCAAGAGGTGGAGGTTGCGGTGAGCCGAGATTGCGCCATTGCACTCCAGCCTGGGTAACAAGAGCGAAACTCTGTCTCGAAAAAACAAAAAACAAAAAACAAAACAAAACAAAACAAAAAAAACACCGCAATTATTTTAGGCCAAAAATCTGTAAAGTAATATCATTTTTATGTTGTTATTTGTTTTTAATTTTGCTATTATAATGAACAGAAAGAATCTCAAACTTCAGAGTTGCAAAATGCCTGTGACAAAGTACGTCCATTTAATTCATAATATATCTTTTTTTTTAAGTTTGAAATATAAGGGAACTGTAAGATATAGAATGCATCATTTAATAAAATAAAGCATCATACTATAATCTTTAAGAATGAGTAGGCATACCTCCAGGTCGCTATCAGGAGGCGGCGAGGGATTATTTTTCCGGCCTCTTCCTCTGGACTTTGAGCCAGAACTCCTACATGTTCTCTCATCAAGATCTTTGATGGGTGTGGAGGGGCTCTGCATGGTATCAAACTCTCCTATAGATAACATGACTTGTGTCAAGAATAGCACTTCATTTTTAGATCAAGTATGAGTCTTCATTATTAATTATCTTAACAAATTCCTATACAATAGAAACTTCCTTATGGCAAAAAGGAGATTTATAATCCCAAGCACACACATCAGTCAGAACTTTTGTAGTTTCCACAAACTCCTACTAGTTTTAATCTGTATGACCTATTAAATGTGAATGTCTTTTCTATGCCATATGCCTTCAACTTCCTGTCTATACCTTCACCTACATATTTATCTCTATTTAGATATGTCCTCACCTCCTTTTTTGTCACAGTTCAGAGAATGAGATGTCTTCTTCTGGATCAATTCCATCCCTCCACCTACAAACCTGACTCCCAACCCCAGCTCCTAAGAAGTCATGCTTCCATTAGTCAAGCCCTCTCTCATCTTCCCTTCAACCTATCCTATTTCTTGGGGTCACTGAGAAGTTTAAAAGTCCTTCCCCCTGACCTGGCATTTCCATCTAGATACTATTTGCTTCCATTTTCTCTTTTAAATAAAATTTCTTAAAATAGTGCATACTAATGCTATATGACAGAAATATGAAGTGAGCCACAAATGTGACCTTATATAAAATTTTAGTTTTTTTATCGACTATGTTAAAAAAAAGTAAAAAGAACTATGTAAAATTAGTATTACTTATGTGTTAACTGACCCAACATATCCATGTTACATATCAGTCTATAATCAATGTGTTGACTCCATATGTTCATGTTATCATATCAGTATGTAATCAATATAAAATTATCAATTATATGTGTTATGTCTTCTTTTTCACACCAAGTCTTTGAAATGTCGTGCAATGTTCTATGCTTATAGCAGATCTCAATCTGTACTAGCAACATTGTAAGTGCTCAATAGTCATGTGTGGCCAGTGGCTGCGGCACTGGACAGCATATCTGTCCCCACTTACTGATATCCAATTTATCATAATATAGCTTCTGTTCCTCAAAACTCAATAACAATTCTCCTGCTAAAAGTCCCCAGAAATCACCTTGTTGACAAATGCAATAGACAGACTCAGTCCTTGTTTTCCAGGATGTCTGTGCTGTGTGTGATTCTCTTAAACACCACCTCCTGGAAAGCATTATTTGACAGCTGGTACCTTACACTTGCCTAGTTCTAGAATCACTCCCACCAAGTCCTTCTCCAACTAGAAAACATGGACTCTTGTACTTCTCCCATTCTTTATGAGATAGTGTGTCAGAATCCCATCCTCCGAACACTGTCCTCACTCCACACAATCTGGGGGATTTCAATCTCTCATGCGTTAGTGACCCTCTCTGTGATGACCCAGACAGACACTTATACCTCCAACTGGACCACATCCTAAATTTCAGACTTCTTATCTAATTGACTTCTGCATGTCCCATAGATATCTAAAAATCTGAAATGTTTAAAGCTTGTGAGAATGTATCTTAGGAGGTAGAGAGTACTGAGTAACTTGTGGAAGCAGTTGTTAAGCCAAGGCAACTGTGAGATACAGTATAACAAGCTGAAGAGTCAGAATTACTATATGAGTTCAAGCATTATATTCAGTCACTCTAAATCTCAGTTTTTGGTAGCTTTCTGGATTATTAAGGGATAAACTGATTCATATTTAATTTGATTTAAATTATATGTATAAAGTGAAAATTTCTAAGACACAGACAAACTATATTAAATTTAAATTACATGATTTTTAAACAAAAAGATATTATGACTGTCATTTTTATCATTAATTTTAAAAATTAAAATCATTATAAGGACAACAAAGTAGTTATTAACCTAAATAAAAAATCTGAAAAAACTAGGCATCACTTTTTCTCAGAAATGGTAATTTTTACATAGCTAACTTCTAACATTTTCTTTGTGAAACATTATGCATGTCAGGACATGATCAAAAAAATATGTCTGTGCTCCAAATATTATTTCCACTTAAAAGACTGGCAGCATAGTTCATTTCAGGGGTCTATGTTATCACTTGGGTGAGAGTGGATAGCACAGTAATAAGATTTTTAAGTTACAGGGCTGAATATAGCCTTGTCTTACAGTAAATCATGTTTCACCTTATTTGTATAGGCATTAAATTAGTCTTTAGGTATCTGAACATACATCAGCTTTTAAATAAGATCACATGAAAGTTCCATTTTTAATTATTTTTGAAACAGAATTTTCCTAAGGTTACCACATCCCACAAACCAACTGTCTTGTCCTCTTTCAATTAAAATGGTGTTTAAAATTAACCCTCACTTATTAAGCATTAATTTTAAAAACACTTTGGATGGACGACATTCCATAAAATTTCTCCTTATATTCATTATAGATCAATTTTCAGTTGTTAACTATCATAAAATAATGTTGTGCTTGCCACAGTGCAAGAGCCATTACTCGTCTGGAGCCTTTGATAGATTCAATTAGCTAATGTATTAATGTTTGTCAAGGTCTCAGGGTAAAACTTAATATTGTTACACATGACTAACTGTATTTGATTTTAAAGATGTTTAAAATATTTGAAAAAAAGGAGCTATAAAACTATTTCTCATCTTCATATGCTAATCTGTCCTCAAACTTTCTTAATACAAATTAAAAAATGATATACCCATAAATTTTACATTAAAGAAAGACGTTTAGAAAGATAATGAAGTAAAATGTCTGCTCGTAATCAGCATTGTAGTGTTTCTTTAAATCCACTGTCAAACTACCTAATAAGGTAAATTAAATAATGGAATGCTATTTGCAATTTCCAAATAACATCAGTCATTACCAAATTTCCTTAGACTTTTCTTGACCCAATACTATATATGATTGAATAATTATCCTTTAATCAGTACAGTAATGAATAACTGCACCTTTTAAGGTTTGGATATTTAGATCTCACTTTATTTTATTAGGCTTATTGCTAAATCAGAACAACCAGCTGTCTCTTATTGAACATAAGGTACGTTTTCATTATAAAAGTAGAAGTCAACAGTGAGTGTTCTATGAAAAACTGTGGGTTTAATTTTAGGTTTCTACTTTAAAGTCCAAAATGCAAAACTAGTCAATGGGAAATATTTTTCCCGCCCTTGAACTAAATACATCAGATTTCCTCAATAATAAAGAAAAATTCCATAGTTATAAACTTGTTTGCTTTTTGGCCATATGCCAGATCTGAAAAGGCTAAATTAAACTTAAAAATACATTGACTGAAGGTCTGAGTTCACAGAATTCTTTAAAGATCCAGACATGTGTGTTGTTATGATTTTGGTTCAGAGAATAATATAGCTATAAATAGAATTAACTCTGTCTTTAAATTCAAGTCCAATAAAAATCTGAAAATGATGTCAAATCATATTTCTTGGCCTCAGCAACCAATGGAAGCCTGAAGAAATTACAAAATTCTGATAGTGAATGCCAGAATTCCATATGTGAATGTGTCACATCTAAAGTCACACACTCAGAATATCTACCTGCCTGCATTTAATATATTTAATATGAATAAAATAGCTATTTTCAATACTGATTATTCCAATAAGGAAATTAACCACCTGTGTCTTTCCTGCAGAGAAGATTTCTTATGATCATATGGAAATTGGAGCAAAAGCAACATTTTACACAAAGCTCTACTTAGGAAATACCATATTTGAACATATATATGGGTTTCATTCTTGGTAGCTGTAGTCTAGCAAATTCAAAAACACCCTGTTGGTCTTGTCCATTATTCAGTCTCTGATATCTTGATGATGAAATACTTTTGTGGTTTCATTTTTAAATATTCACCCTACCTTATTTTCCCCACACATTCATTATTGAGTAAAACCTTCCACAGGGTGATAAGAGGTCATTAAATATCTCCTTCCCTAAAGTAGTTAAAGATTACATTCTGAACAGGGAACTAAAAATCATGAATGTTATCATTTCATCAATTCATAATATAAATACATCTTGACTGTTGCTTAAAATATCAGGTTCATTTTTACTTTATGTCCAAATTAGTTTACTTGTTAATATTCCCCATATGACTTACCACTTTCCCTTTCTCAACACTCATCACTATTGTAATTATTTGATCTTTGTCCTGTTTGTTAAATGGAAGCTAAAAGTGTGCCAAGAGCTCATTCGCTGCTGAAATGTCAGTTTCTAGCACGGTGCTGATACTTAATAGACACTCAATAAATAATCGTTTAATGGCATTGAGTCACCTTGGCCCCTCTGGTCCAGTTAGAAGGAGTTTACAGTATTGTGACCATGTTTCCCTATTTTCTCTCCCAATCAAAGCTGAATAAAAAAGAAATAGAGATGAATTTGGATCTTGCAAATAACTGAAGGCAGAAAAATATACTTGAACAAATTAATAATATTTTAAAAAATTCTTAACCTCATTTTTCTTAGTGACTTTCAAGAGTTCTTTATATATTGTGGATATAATTCCTTTATCAGTATGTGTTTTACAAATATTTTCTCCAAATCTATGGCTTTGTCTTTTTATTCTTGTAATAGTGTCTTTTGAAAAGCAAAAGTTCTTTACAATTTTTTGAAATCTAATTTTATGTGTTCTTTTCTTGTAAGAATTGTGTTTCTAATGTCATATCTATAAAATCTTTACATAAGCCAGGGTCACAAAGATTTCCACCATTTTTTCTTCTAGAAGTTTTGTAGTTTTAGCTTTTTAGATGTAGGCTTACACTCCATTTTGAGTTAATTTTTGTATATAAGTTGAGATTTTTTCCTCTTTTGCATATAGATGTCCAATTGTCCCAGCACCATTTGTTGGAAAAAAAAACTATTCATTCTTCACTCAACTGCCTTGTATCCTGATTCAAAAATCAGTTTTCTAGTAGATACTATATATATCTGTTTCTGGACTCTCCACTGTGTTTCATTGTTTTACGTGTTTATCCTTTCATGCTCTCTTGATTACTGTACATTGTAAGTCTAATTTAAATCAGATAATGTGAGTCTTCAAACTTTGTTCTTATTTTTCACGATAGTTTTGACTATTCTAAATCTTTCGCCTTGTCTTGTGATTTTAGAATCATCTCAATAATTTCTCCAAAAGTCCTGAAATTTTTCTTAAGATTATGCTGAGTCTCCGTTAAATTTGATTTTAATTTTAAATACTTCGGCTGTGTGAAATTATGTGTAGCAAATGCAATTCAAATACTGCAAGTTTCAGATAAAGAAACACACAGTGGATTTCAAATACACACTGATCACACAAAGATATTAAACTACCTACCACTGAATCTACAAATCCCAGTAATGTAAGAAATGTTCACTGGCTAGAGCTACTGACAACACATAAAGGCGAAGGGCTTATGTAGTCTCTTTAGCATAAAGGAAACATTATCAGTCATATTCAGGGAAGATAATATTACAACTTTGTTGCAAGTTCTTCACAAAATGAATAATTAGTCTGGCAAAAGGTCCATATTCATATGCACACCATCATTTAGAGATTAAAATCGCCTATCTGTCCCACATCTAAAGGAAGAATCTTCTCAAATGCCAGAAGAGCCTCATCTTACACAGTGATGGTAACACAGATTAAACATCAGCACAATTATCTGGGAGCTTTCAGCCATGTTTTTGGAGTGTTCACTTTTCCATTTTATTAGAGACTGCAAAACATATGAAAGTATTTCACCTGTGTGAAGATCTGTACCTGGTTGGTTAGTCAGTCCTGGGAGAGATTCCTGCAACTGATAAGTAGAGGTTGAAGAGGGTGTGCCATCGGCTGTGTTATTTGATGTCATATACGCTCCATACGTTGATGCTGAATAATACTGTGCATACTGGTTTTGGCCAAAGGCTGTATAGGATGGATACTCCTGAAACAATAATTGAGATGTGTGTGTTTGAAAGAGAAATTACTCTGTAATAGTCTCCAAAGAAAACCAATTGTTATGGTAATTGAAAGATTAGATTTAGCCCCATTTGTTTCTGAGTCCACAGCTTTGAGGTGATCCTACTGAGCAGAGACTACTTTGTGGGCATCTCTTACAAGCATGTAGTAAGTAGTGAAATACCCTATTGTTTTGGCAAATCAGGTCCAGTACACAAATTTTAATCTGCTTAAAATTAGCATATGGTTCACTTTGTTGCTGATAATTACTTATCCAAGGATTTACATCATCAAAACCTATGTGTTTGAAGAGGAAAGAAGGAGATGGAATCAGCTCATATTCACAAAATCAGTTCTTACACATCTTCTAACATCATCAGCAAGGAGTTGGGGCTGCCCCTCCTAGCCTCCCCAGAGACCACAGTCTACATTTTTGTGATTTTTGTTCCTTTCTGGGCTACTTAAAATTCTGTTTTCTTGGCAGAAGGTAAAAAGTAAGTAAAAGAAAAGGAATATGACTTTTTTTTATACCCAGCCTCTCACAAACTATGTGTCACCTGAAGCCTTGACTTAAAGTCTTTAATGAACTTTCTAATTATTTAGTTTCCCTTCTTCATTAAAGAGAAAAATTGAAACACTGGATCAACACCCCAACTTGCTTTTTATTTAAAAAATTTAAGAACCTTAAAATGATAATAATGATCCTTCAAAATCCTTTTACATATTAGAATGATGAGTAAGGATTTGTTGTGATAATTGGTGTTTAATATATCTAGCATATGTCAGCCCAAAATGCTATTAGTGATGACAAATTCTGGGTCATAACATTAAGATCCCCTGGTGAAACATGTTCCAAAGGAAACAAAGATCTACATTTGATGTGGTTTCCAAAAAATAATAGAACTAATCCTTATAAGTAAATACATGTATGATCATAAAGGATTAAATAATATGGCGGAAAACTAAAATTCTATTATCTAAAAATTTCAAGATCCAATGTTTCCCACTACGGCTTGTAAGCCAAGAACAAAACCTCATTATATTTAAACAAAGTTCCTAGGAACATCTCTTTCTTAGAGTGAAACAGTGATAGCAAACGTTTATGTAGTGTTTACTCTGTATCGAGGCACTGTTCTAAGGACTCAAATATATTTACTCATTTAATCCTCATAATCTCTTGTGTGGCCTTATTATTATATTCATTTTACATTGAAGGGGACTAAGGCACAGAGTGGTTAAGTAATTTGCACAAGGTCATACAGCTAATTAAGTTTCAGAGCTGGAATTTGAACCCCGAGAGCCAAAGTCAAACATCTGTGTGCTGAAGCTCTCTGTTAGGCTACTAATTGCTGCAGAGGAAGACGAGGTGACATACTGGAAAGATCCAGGTTACTCCCCACTAGGGAATATAATGTCTTTTCATATTCAAACGTATCTCAAAGATCTCCTTTTCTTTTCATTTCCACTATTGTCCCCTTTGTCCAATCTACCTTTTCTTCCTGTTGCAGGCAATGTATTCATTTTCTAATTCATCTCATTTCCATTTCTTACTTTCTCCAAAGACACTGGTGGCAGAGTTATCTTAAATTATGTGATACAATTTTCTTGTTCAAAATCCTTTAGTAGCCTCCCACTGGGCTTGGAATAGAATCCAAATTCCTTATTGAAAACCACCAGGCCCCTGCCTATCTCTGCAAATTTATGTTTCTCCACTCCCCACTCATGCACTGACTAAACTCCAGCCTTCTTAAAATAAATTCAGTGATATAGCAAGTGTTCTACCCATTGGGGATTTGGTACATGCTGCTTTCTTTGCCTGAGACACCACTGCCCTCCTTCTTCACCTAACTCTTAGAAGTCTTGGCCTAAATGTGGTTTCTGTAGAGAAGGCTTACACAAAACCTCCCCTATTCAAAGTTATACTTCGGTTGATTTTTTAATAGGCCCTGTTCTCTTTTGAATTCTGTATTTATTCCTGTGCTTCCTGGTTTATTGTCTGTTTGTCCCAGTAAGCTGTAAGTTCCATGAGGCAGGAATCAGATCTAATCCACTCCAGCCCCACCTTCGTGTGCCCCAGTAATATAGACCAATTCCTAACACTGGCACTCAATAGGTATTAGCCAAAAGAAAAAAACTGGTGCTCAGACCATGGTCCCAAATACAGATTACATTTTACACTGGAATCCATTATATTTAAATCTTCACAGAGAATTGGATCTGTTTTATGATTAACTCTTTTTAAATAAATGTTCTTTTCCTTTACAAATCTTTTCTTAATCCACCCAAATAGAGCAGAGGAGTTTTTCCTTTACAACTCTGACTACTGTATATTTCTGTTATTATATTCACTATATCCCACCCTCTGTCCATCTTATTTTCATATTTGTTTCTTTCAGAGGACTGAATCCCTCTAAAGAGCAGGGAACAATGACTTACTAGTTCTGAATCTTCCATCCCTTGCCAAAAATCTAACATTAGCAAGTGCTCAACAAATATCTGCTGGACCAATAAGTAAATGAGTAAAATCAAGTTACCAAAAATTCTCAATTTTTGAAAATATAATGTATATACTGGCTCTGATGTTTAGTGTTTTAAGATATCATTTTTCTAACTAATGCTAAATTACACAGTTTGATCCTATCGAAAATATTATTCCACACTATTTTAATGATAAAAATTTCCTTTCTGGCTTTTGTTATTTCAATAAAGCTAAAATACAGCAATTGATAGAATTCCTTCAGTAGATCTAATAAGGAAGTACTTGTGCAGTAACATACATTTTAAAATACATAAACATCTAGCAATTATGCTAAAGTAAAATAGTGTATTGTCAGACCAGAAGTCATCCACTCTTCAATCTCACCTACTTTGAACATGGCTGAAAATCAAAATGCAATGACAAAAGATTTGGAAGTGTCAATATATATCACAAATCCATCTCACACTGAGCTGATTCACTCATTCAGGGACATTCACTCTTGCTTCATGCATAATTCTAACAAGCTAGATTTTAAAACTCATAAAAAATATTAAGAAAATATAATTAGAAGGAGGACTAAGGACTCCCAGAGGCAGGTACAATGACAAAAGTAAAAAAGTCGCAGTTGTCAGGAAAGTTAGAGTCAAACATTTATTAAAAGTAATCAAAAAACTAAAAACTAGAAAAAAATATTTAAAAGCCAACAGTAGTCCTTGAGGCATTTTGTTAAGTAACACTTTTTAGGACTGAAAATGTTATATAGCCTGTAGCATAATCCTATAATTGATTTTAGTTCAACCAATTAATATTCATTATAATAACTGTTTTATCAAGAAAAATAAAACTGTTTTTAGTATATTTTAAGATAACATAAAATATCCAAAACATTTTGCAATTCCATGCCAAATGCTTAAAACAAACTGCAGCATAAATGTTTAAAGCACAAATCTTTAGCAATCAAAAAACCTAAAATAGCCAGAATAACACATATTCCAAGAATTCTATATAGCTAATTTTTTACTATCCTGAAATGCTATCATAATTTTAAATAAAGAAATCTTACTCTGGGAAAGTATACACTTACATGGCAACTTGAAAGTACTCTTCAAACATCTGAAATACATATAAAAAGCATCAACACAAAAAGCTACCATACCTGTTGTGAACCACTGAAATTCGTTGAATTGGAAACTGAATTATTTGCATAAATAGTAGATGATGGTGCAAAACTAGAACCTAGAGGTAAAGAACAAATTGCATTTTAAAAGTATTCCCTGTAAAGTGATAAAAATATTTCACTTTGCAGAATTCAGTGAAACACTTTGAAATTTGTTGTGAAGACAGCGAAATTTGAGGTCGAGACATTTATACAGAAAATATGCTTAGCTCTCTCCCTCTTGCTGTAACCCCTGGTAAACCCGTTCCTATTTAATCTGTTGAGATAAACAGAAGCATGTGGGAACAGTCTTCATAAGGAGTAAGGCCAACATTCAATGGTTAGGAGTCAAGAAGTGCAGGGGTACCCAAAGGATAACATCTTACACAGACTAAGACTGCCTCCAGGAAACTACTGGAACTTTCAAATCATATCAACTGCATTAACATACAAAAATCACTTGAGCTCAACATTTGTACAGGGTTATTACCATGGGAAATAAACATGCAGAACCCCACTTAGTAATTCCTTGTACTTTTGTTCCCTTTGTCTTTAGAGCAAAAATAGCTGTGATTTAGGGTTCAGACTCAACGGAGAACTGTTTATACCACACAAATCTAGGGTTTGAGCACCTTCTAAAACTTTACTACAAGGTCTGAAATTTAAGGATTTCTCAAATCAGGGCAAAAACAAGTGAGCTGTCAATTATAGGTTTCCTTAAGAAAAAATCCTTATGGAATATGCTTGTCGAGAAGTAAAATGAAAGGCTATTGAGGTAGCTAATTACTCATTTTATCAATGTGTTTTGACTAGCAATCTGTTACGTAATCAGTGCAACTGACCTGACCTGGAATAGCCAATATGAAAGTGTTTGTGGAAAAAATGAAAATGTTGTCTGTCACATGGCTAACTGAAGCTGTATGGATTTTTGTGGCTCTACCACACATTCAAATATGTTTCAACCTACATTTTAGGTAAAAAAGAGCACTGCTATTCCAGTCAAATATATCTAAATAATTATTTCATTTGAATCAGTTAACCAAAATGTCATATCAGTTGGTTAAAATATGGTAATATAACCCCAAATTTCTGATTTTCAGTATAGAGAAAATGACAGATAGTAATCAGCTTTTAAAGTTTTTACCATGTCACTAAAATTATTTTGGCAGCTATTACATTAAGATGAAACATGGTGGGCGTGGTGGCTCATGCCTGTAATCCCAGCACTTTGGGAAGCTGAGGAGGGTGGATCACGAGTTCAGGAGTTCCAGACCAGCCTGACCAACATGGTGAAACCCTGTCTCTACTAAAAATACAAAAACTAAAATACAAAAATTAGCCAGGTGTGGTGGCACGTGTCTAATCCCAGTTACTCAGTAGGCTGAGGCAGAAGAATCACTTGAACCTGGGAGGTGGAGGTTTTAGTGAGCTGAGATCACGCCACTTCACTCCAGCCTGGGTGACAGAGTGAGACTCTGTCTCAAAAAAAAAAAAAAAAAAGATAAAATCCAATTTTAATAGGAGTCTAAAATTTAAAATAATTAATGATTCTATATGGAAGATTGGGTAGTAAATATTATATGATAGTCCTATTAAGCAACATAGCATTTTTCTTTTTTCTTTTTTTTTTTTTTTTTTTTGAGGCAGAGTCTCACTTTGTCACCAGGCTGGAGTGCAATGGCACAATCTTGGCTTATGGCAACCTCCGCCTCCCAGGTTGAAGTGATCCTCCTGCCTCAGCCTCCCGAGTAGCTGGGATTACAGGCATGCACAACTACACCTGGCTAATTTTTGTATTTTTAGTAGAGATGTGGTTTCTCCATGTTGGTCCGGCTGGTCTTGAACACCCAACCTCAGGTGATCCACCCACCTCAGCCCCGCAAAGTGCTGGGATTACAGGCTTGAGCCACTGCTCCCAGCTGCAACATAGTATTAATAGAAGAGAGAAATTTTAGGAATGAACAAAAAATTCTCAATTGGTCAACAATAAATGGAACTTAGAAAATAACTAATTCAAATTTAAGTATAATCAAAGCAGAATTATATACTTCAGAAATACTGAAAAAAAAATACTGGTTTGTGCTACGGATCTTTTAAATCACTTAAGTAGACACCAAATGTGTGGCTGACCTGGTGTCTGGCTTGGAGGTTGCTTTGCTTGGACTTAGTCTCCTGCTGATGTTATGCAGCTTAAATTTAAGTATTTAAGTTTGGTATGGGTCATGTTTCCTGATGTATACTAACCCATTTCATTATGTTTCTGTCTAGTTATTCATCTTTCTTTAAAAATTGTCTGAGCTGTGATAAAGCTTAAAACTGTCTTCATGATCGGATATTCCTAGCCTGAAGCCAAGGAGTCTCACTCAAAGAATGAATTCTCCCATAATACGTCTCATGTGTAGCTACTTACCTGGCATTTGGTAAGAATAAGGTGTCTGGCCTGGCTGTGGGGTGGAAAACCCTGGGCTATAACTGAGGCAGCCACTCTGTAATGGAGACTGGGTCTGGGAAAGTCCACTCTCTGTCTTGATGGCTGGTAACATCACACCCAAATCTGTTTAGAAAAACGAATGTGCAAACCATTTAATTAGTTAGATGATCTTCCTTCTAAGTTGTAACCGACAACAGAATACAAAGCTACCAGCCAGCAGGATTGCCTGCCCATAACCAAAGGAGAAGATATAAGATGTGAAATACCGTAAGTGGGCAGGCTGTAGGGCTGTCCTGTCTGTGAGTAGGCTGTGTAGACGGCCGGCTGCTGCATCCCGGAATACTGAGCCTGGCCTGCATAGGCAGACATTGTTTGAGCTGCTGGTGTAGAAAGAATGTGTGGATAGGGCCTAAATATCAGAAAAATAGCATTACTGTGGCAACAAAGACTGTGTATTAATTCAGACAGCCTAGATTCAGTGAAACCCTATAATATCCAGGAAGTAATCCTCTTTATCTACAATATAATTTTAACAATATATGAAAAAGCAACGGTCTGAAAGTCAGGAGCTCAGGCTCTGCTACAAACCAGTCTAGTGACCTTAGACAAATAATTTAAACTCCCTAAGTCTATACCTCACCTGTAAAAGGAGAAATTTGATTTAGATATCATACCTAGTGTCTCTTCGGGGTCTATAATTCTTACTCATATCTGAAATGGCACTCCAGTTAATATGTAGATGAGGAAAATGGAACACACACTAATTAATATGCTCATCAGCAAATTCGCACTCACCATGAGTGATTTACTGCCATGCAAAGACTATGAAATTCTATTTCGAAGCCCTACTAAGAATTCGCTCCCAAGAAGTGAAAATTTTTAAAAAGAAAAAGGAAAGGTCGGAGGCTTTCTTAAAAAAAAAAAAAAGAAACGCCATTCCTTTCATTATGTCACATTTTATATCATGTTCCTCATAGAATATCCAACCTCCAGTCTATATATATATAAAGGCAGACACTCTAGATGCTGAAGAAAATAACATACTACATTTAAATGTGTATGTATCAGTAATATAAAATCTTGGCACGTCTGGCTGATTCCAAGCCAATTCAGATATACATCCAATATAGTTAAACTTAAGAAATAACTACCACTGACCTCAATAAAGTAACTACATTAGTTATAAAAACAATAAAGCATATTTTCCAAAAATATGTTTATTAGAAGTGGAAATCCAATAAAAGAATTTCAATAATGGAATTAACTATGAAGTGTTGACACAGATAAAATGTAATCTCTTTAGATTTTTTAGCAAGCCAGCATTTTTTAATTTGCATCAAAAACCATGTATTCTAATTTGAGACTGATATTTCTCTCAAGGTATATATAAATATCCCAGGGAATTATCAAGATAAATGTGGACATCTCTATTTCAAATGCGTAGAGGATATTTATCTATATACTTAATCTATCCAAGTATGTATCCAACTATCTATAATACATGTATAGACATAAATGTTTGCCAATTTAAAGTTGTCATATTGTGTGAATACAGATTAATAAAGATGACGCTGGAAAATTTTTCTAATAAAACAGAAAGAATCTACTGACCACTTACTTGGAAGGATACAGCTGTGGGGAATACTGATGTGCTGATCTGGGGCTGTAGCCACTACTTGTGATTACTGTAAGACACAAAAATACCAGTGCACCAAAGGTTGCTTCATAAATATATTTCACTAGAATGTACACAATGAATTTGAAGAAATTACCCTGTTAAACACGCTTCCAAAAATTCATTTTCTAAAAAGAAACAGCTGCCTAAACACTTCCTCTTAATTAAACTGATTTGAGTTTAGTTAAAAACGTGAAACAAACAATTGTCTCACAAATCATTCCCTTTAACACTCTTCCATTTTCTCAAATCATTAGGATGAACTTATATATTAATATGCTATGAATAAATATATTTGATTATAGGGCAATTAAGCTTTCATAATATAAAAGTAAATTTTGGAAATTTGCAAACTTTGCATTTTAACATTCCAAATGCGATGGCAAATATACATTGCTTTTCCTCCATATTTATTCTAATTGAAATGCAATACAAAATAAGAAAAGTGTGATGTTCCGAACTTCATTTTCTAATGGTAAAATACTACTGTAATTCTATTTCCTCTCATTTTACCCATCACACGAAAAATTAAAAAGGCAGTCTAAAATATTCCTGTAATAACTAGAGAAAGCACAGGTAATTTCTTTAAAACATAATCACAAAATGCAGTAGCAATTATATTTACAAATATACTTTGAACTATCAGAGATAATACTTTTCTGAGAAGAACTTAAAGGTGAAAGTCAGGACCTATTAACAGTTCATCCAAACATGGGGCTCCAAACTGGAATATATCCAAAAGTTTGGAAGTTTCTCTTTCCTTTAACTCTCTGCGTTGACTAAGACAGATGTTTTGCAAATATATGGACTCTAAAGTGTGAGCCAGTCCCCTCAGAGCCAATCCACACTGAGTGAGCACACAGAGTGTCTTTATTAGGCCATCTGCTGTTCATTCACTTTTCAAAAAGATTAAAGTGGTACACAATGCAGTGCTGGAGTTAGTTTAGTCCAATCAATCATAGTTATACTTCAAAGTACTATGTCCTTTCTGAGTTGTTCATAATAATTCTGAAGCTAAACTTTCAGAATTGTAAAAGTGACAAATAGGTTTAGGTTGTTAACTATTTTATGAAACATGATATATTTCTACATAGATCATTCCCTTGTGATCTACTACTTCACAAACATGCAGAATGTAATGTGTTTAAATTGCTATTTTGCCTGTAAGCTCTGAATATAGAAAGAATATTTTCATTTCATAGCAATAATGCAGTAAGTATCTTTTCAAGAATGTTATCAGTCAATTTTGAAAATCATCAAATTTGACTAAAGTTGTTAGTTCTTAACATTTTCAGCAACCAAAACTTAACTGAATTGTCTATGTATAGTTGAAAATAAATTGGCTAATAAACTAATAATTTTATACACACATATTAAAACTTAAAAGAATGTTTTAAATTTTCAAATCAACTTAATGAAAACAGACCCTTTGTTCTACTACACAATGGGCATTAAATGTAGTTTAAATAATAGTGTTATTCCAAGGATATTCATTCTAATTTATCAATTTGCAATAGCAAATACTCTATTTAACAAAAACATAGTTAAATGAGGCTTAATTATAGATTCTTTCATCTTTTCTTTATAGAATTTCTCTTTGGTATACTCAAGACTTGGGCTATACTAATTAGTTATTATCAATATTGTGAAATAGAAGACTTTTCCAAAGAGACACTGAATAATGAAGATAAGTATTCATTATAGTAGCTTTTAATAAGACATAGAGCAAAATTACACATTTCAGAAAAAAAATCCATATACCTGAACTCAATTCTGAATATATAAGATGTTTCTTCTAATGATAAATCTAAACATCATTAGAATAATGTACTCACAACACTATAAAGGTTCAACTAACCTTTACAAATTTCTATTAACATCTTTATGTTCATTTCCTAAATAGAACACAAAACCTTTGGCTCAGAAAACTACGATGTTCATGTAGGAAAGTTTATGCTTCTTTACTAAAATGTATACATTTTGTTCTAATTCAGAAATTTGCAGATAACTGAAAAGAACAACAAAACTGGATTAAAGTGGGTAGAAATTATGCAGATAAAGATAAAAAAAAAACTGCTCCCACAAAGGTCAGCCTCATTTCCAGAATGATTTCTGGAATACCTTGTAAAGACCTTTGTTTTATTCCCCACAGTCATTTGATTAATTATAAACACTACCCAAATCAATCAACTCATTATATTCCATCATTTCTGCATACAGCATTAAGCAAAACTACCTGTTTTCAAATGCCCTGAAAATTAATTAAAATAAATGTTTACTGTCTATTGTCAGTTTCTCTGACGGTGTCAAAGCAATTTCAAGATTTTATTCTTATTATCGTGCTATCTTAGGTTGGTGACTCTCAATGGGATGGGAAATGAGTGGGGGTGAGAATTTTGCCTGCCAGGGACGATTAAACAGACTGGATACATTTTTGGTTGTCTTTAGTAAGACATCTTTGGTTGTTTCCCTAGTACAGAAGCATCTGGGGTAGTGTTGCTGGCATTTTGGGATAGATGCAAGGATGTTGCCAAATATCTCGCAGTGCAGAAGACAGCTCTCCCACAATAAAGAATTAGCCCAAGTCTTTAACAGTGCTGATGTTGATACTCCCTGCCCTGGATCACTGCTGTGGGATAAAACTTTCCATAGTGTTGGAAATGTTCTGTATCTGAGTTGTCCAATATGGTAGCTACTAACCACATGCAGCTGTTAAATACTTGCAATGTGTTTAAACTTGAAAATTCAGTTACATTTTGGTTGCTGAAAATATTGAGAACATAGCGCTTCTAGTCATACTTGATGATTTTCAAAATTGATTGGTAATATTCTTGAAAATATACTTACTACATTATTGCTATGAAAATGAAAACACAAAACAAAAATTTTAAGTTTATCAAATTTTAATAGCCACATATAACTAGTATCTACCTTATTGGACAGCTGGTCCCTAGATAATTCTTTAAAAAATTGGGAAAATATCTACAAAGATAATATGAGTGAATTTCAGACAGGATGACTGTTTATACCTATTTTTTTTCCATCTATTTTCTGATGGAGTACTACAGAAAGGATCCAGCGACTGATCATCAGGGCGTGGTTCTAGACTCATTTATTCCACTGACCAGCTGTGAGGCCTTGACTGTATGGCCTTAACCACTTTTAACTTTTCCTGTCTATAAAATGGATCAGAGAGCTCTGAAATTCCTTTTGGAGCTAACACTTCATAGTTTTGTCATTCAGCTTTCAATTAACTTGTAGTATAATAATGAAGTACATCACCACTAAGTTAATAACTCCATTTCCTTCCTTAAAAATGTGTTCATATAGATTTACTTTGCAGAAAGTTTACAAAAGCTATGGTAAGTGTGCAATACAGAATGCTGAACTGATACCTATTTATTTCCTGAGAGGCAAGTAACTGCTAGAAAAGATGTGGATTAGTACATATGAGTCTCTATGCAAATTTTATGTACTATCATTTCTTTCTTGGAGTACTAATATTTATGTAAAGACATGGCAACTGCTTCTAATCCATATGAACCAGTAAAATTAGATCATCTGTAAAAATCAAATACACGCTATAATGACATAATACTCTAAGACATATCTCAACTATTTTTACATAAAACATACTGATAAAAAATCCTTGTAACATGAGAATGTGGATAAACATAAAACGTATTAAAGTAGAATAACAGAACTGAGATTCAATTACCACAAATACTTTCCTAGGTTTAATGTTCTTTCTGATGCACCTATTCCTACTCAGGTTAGAAAAGTCCTTTCACCAGATAATAAGCCAAATAAATAGTGTAACTTAAAAAAAAAATCTTTAATTAAGTCAACTTAATTCATGTCCTTTGTGCCCAGCTGGGAGTTATCAGGTATTTACATTTTCAAGGGATTGATGTTTAAAGACATTGCTATTGTTCTCTTTGAAGCATACCAGCGCTCTCAGAGGCTGGGTTCTAATGCAACCAGCATGTTCTCTCCCACAGCCCATTAACCTTTAATACTTGTCACTCAGCTGCTTACACAGGAGGAGTTTTTTAAACCCAGAGAGGAAACAAGGTTATTTAGAAGGAATCAAATGGATAGTTTTACATCTCAAATGTTAAACAGAAGGCAGTTTGTATGCAATACAAATGGGTACGGTGAAGAAGCAAGGTCAGCTGCTACAACTTAATTATTAAATTACTTAAACAATGTATAAAATAATTTTGAAGAAAGTTAGGTTTACTTATCTGTAATAAGAAAGTCATGGGACTTTTGCTGTCAACTAAAATATCAAGCAAAATTATTCTAAATATAATTTATAAAAATGTATATGCTATGACAATTCATCACGGAAAGTAAGAATTTGTTGCTAACTTTATAAAGATCAAAGTTCTAAGAGCTTGGATGCTTAAGCTGTTCATTCCCAAGGAGGAAGATGTGGATGCACCCCCATGTGTACATAAGGACACACGAGCTAAAGGCTTTACCTGACCCAGTAAAAGTGTCAAGCGCTCCATCTCCAGTCGTGGTTGTGGTTTCACTGCTGTTCAAGGGCTCTGTTTTGACTGCAAGAAGAGACACTACGTAGAAGAATAAGTACATGTGAGTTTTACTTCTAAATTTATGTCAAAGACACTGTCCGTTCTACTGGAGATTTTTCTAGCTACCACGGGCATGCAAGAGAAAACTTGAGAAGTTGATGAAGAGAGTTTTGTTAATTTAGCTTCTAAGTGGGCATGCATTTAGAGGATTTAATCTAAAATCCTCTGGCCAAGCTAGTTCTCTCAAATAGGGCTTTTAAAGGCAGTCAACCTTAAAAAGTGAAACAGCAGTACATATATTTATATTCTTAATTCACCTAAACACACTCTAATACAGTCAATAGGAAAAAAAGAATCATCATCAGTCTTCAGCACATTTAATCAAAATTACACCAAAGAAATTTACTGACTTATATTTATTTTTCCCAGGAAGATTTTTTAAGTTTGCATAATATTATAATGCAGACAT